ATACATGGTCTAGCGATGATCTTTATGTTCTTAATGCCGGCTTTGTACGGAGGATATGGTAACTTCTTTGTACCCATATATATTGGGGGTTCGGAAGTTGTATTCCCAAGAACTAACGCAATCTCCTATTTCCTAGTACCATTAGGTTCAGTGTTAGTTATTCAAAGCATTTGTTCCGAATTTGGTAGTGGTATTGGATGGACTATGTATCCACCTTTAAGTACTAGTTTAATGGCTTTAAATCCAGAGGCAACTGATTGGTTAATAGGAGGTCTTGCTGTTCTAGGTATAAGCAGTCTACTTAGTTCTATTAATTTCCTTGGTACATGTGTATTTATGGGATCTAGTGCTGGCGGTAGAAATTATATCTTATATATTTGGGCTATCATATTTACTGCTATCATGCTAATATTTACTTTACCTATCTTAACAGGTGGATTACTTATGATCTTATTAGATTTACATATCAATACTGAATTCTATGATTCTATGTACTCTGGAGATAGTGTATTATATCAACATCTGTTCTGGTTTTTTGGACACCCAGAAGTATATATTCTAATTTTACCTGGATTTGGTGTTGTATCTCAAACACTGTCTATGTATGCTTGCCGATCTGTGTTCGGTGGACAATCTATGATCCTAGCTATGGGTTGTATTTCTATCCTAGGATCTTTAGTTTGGGCCCATCATATGATGACAGTTGGTCTAGAAGTAGATACACGTGCATACTTCTCAGCTATGACAATTATGATTGCCATTCCTACCGGTACTAAAATATTCAATTGGTTAGGTACTTATATGGCCAGTCATATATCTACCCGAGCAGTAGACTTATGGTCTGCACTTAGTTTCATTCTTCTGTTTACCTTAGGTGGTACTACGGGGGTAGTAATGGGTAATTCAGGAATGGATATCGCGTTACATGACACTTATTATATTGTAGCACATTTCCATTTCGTATTATCTCTCGGAGCTGTCTTAGCCACTATATGTGGCTTTATTTTTTATAGCAGAGATATGTTTGGCGATACTACTAATTTATTCCATGTACAGACAGGATCCTCTCCTTATTTAAGTATTTGGTTTATAGTATTCTTAGCTAGTATTTTATTAATATTCTTACCTATGCATATCTTAGGATTTAACGTTATGCCAAGAAGGATACCAGATTACCCT